GGATCTCGCTCTGTAGACCAGGCTGGCCTCGAACTCACAGAGATCCACCTGATTCTGCTGGGATTAAAGGCGTGCGCCACCCCAGCCCGGCGACACTTTTTTTTTAAAGCTTCCTTCCAGTAAGATAATCCATCACGGAGAAAGACATGTAAAGATAGTATCAACTGGTCCTGGTGGTGTAGGCACACAGACCGACTCAGGAGGTTTGCAGTGAGCTGGAGGCTAACCTTGGCTACATGGGGAGACCCCCCTCTCAAAAAACAACCCTCGTAACAACAAAAAGACTTTTAGCTCATAAGAGAGCACATGCTTCCATGAGACAAGAGAAAACCATGAGGTCCTCCAGGCAGTATAATATAAAACATAACTATCATTTGTTCTCATAGACATAGAGATTGATTATAGACATCAAGGGTCTTTTCTTTTTTTTCTTTTCTTTTTTTTTTTTTTTTTTTGAGGCAGTATCTCATATATCTCAGGCTGGTGTCGAACTCTTGATGGAGCTAAGGACAATCTTGAGCTTCTGACCCTTCTACTTCTAACTGGACTTACAGGTGTGTGCCACCAGGCCTAGTTTATGCACACCACGGACGCACCCCTGGCTCCCTGCACGCTAGGCCAGCACACTACCAACTGAACTACAGCCCCATCCCCCAAGAGCCTTTTCATATGTTCTCATACATTCTGAACGACCAAAGCCTAAGGGAGAGGCAGACCAGAGAGACCCAGGATGGTAGGTAGCTTGTACTGGGGTCCACTTCAGGAGCACAGGGCGTTCTTCTTGGCTCAGCTCTGCCTTCTCACTACAGCCCTTTTAGGGATCCATGACAGCCCTATCCATTCAACAGGGCTTGGGTGCAGGATGCCCTTGACCCGGGGTTCCTAGAAAGATCTCTGAATAAGGCAATCTAGGCCAGATCCTGCTTTCCAGAAACCAGAAACACGAACCCAAGGGGTTCACATGACACCTTCCATGGATGGCAGCAGGTGTGGACCAGACTATACCTGAGTCTCTTGGTTCAGGCCACAGAGCCTCGGGTTCACAGTGGAAGCTAAGCTGTGGGCTGCTTACATCTCTGTAAGGAGTGCGGGCAATCAGGAGCCTGGGCACAGGTAAGATGAAGGAGACAGGGAGCATGGGAACTCAGAGTCCCGAGTCTTTGACTGGGCTGGTGAGATGGCTCAGCCGGCAAAGGCACTGGTTACGCCAGTGCGGCCATCTGGGCCCCAAGCCCACATAAAGGCGGACCGGAGAGAACTGACTCCACAAGTTACCGCACGCACAAGGGGTGTGTGCGCACACACATCCACAAATACAGAAATGAAGGCTGGCGAGATGGCTCAGCAGTGAAAGGTGTTTGCCACCAAGCCTGAGGACCTGAATTCAACCTCCAGGATCTACACAGCAGGAGAATCAGCTGCCATGACTTTGCTCTGACCTCCACATAACAAGTGGCCCATACATACCCTCAAATACTCGCACACAATAAGTGCAACTTTTAAAAATGTTTTGGGCTAGGCTTGATGGTGTTTCTTTGACCCCAGATTTAGGAAGCAAACACAGGCAGATCTCTGTGTGTTCCATGGCTACATCGAGAGCATCCCCCCCCCCCAACTATCCTGGAACCGAGATCTGCATGCCTCTGCTCCCACGTGCTGGGAATCCAAAAGGCATTCGACACTACACCTGGCAAAATTTATCTTAAAACACCAGAAAACCGTTGAGATGGGCTTGGGGGCTCACTCCTGAAATCCAATCCTCCTACTTGGGAGGCTGAAGCACGACTGCTAAAATTTCTGGGCCAGCCTGGGCTGTATAGTGAAATCAGAGTCAGACACAAAAAGTTGGTTGGTTTTTTTTCCAATGTCTCTTCTATTTTTTTTATTTACTTTTTTTTTTTTTTTTTTTTTTTTTTTTTTTTTTTTTTTGAGACAGGGTGTCTCTGTGTAGCTCAGAGATCTATCTGCTTCTGCATGGGCGACCACCGCCAGGCTCAATTTTAAACAGAGTCCCATGCTGGCCTCAAACTCCTGATCCTTGTGTCTCTATATCCCAGTGCTAGGATCCGAGGTTTGGAACACACCCAGCGTCAATCTAAGTTTAACATTGAATAACCCAATCCCTTTCCAGCTTGTTGGAAAGCAGTGTTTCCTCGGGCCACACTATGTAAGTGGATGGAAGGCTATCATGCAGCCCAGACTGGCCTGCATGTATCCTCTTTTCCTCTATTCCAAGTGCCAGAATTGTGGGTGTGGGCCCACACCTGGCTTTAAACTTGCATTTAATACTGCTGTTTCCAGAAAGTGTTCCAGGAAGTGCAAGGGAAACAAGAAGCTTCCATCTCACTGGTTATCACTGAGGGCTCAGAACAGTCCAAGGACTGAGACGTGAGATACCAGTCAACATGACACAGACCTTGCTTCTTGGAGGGGCCTTTTGGAATGTCACTGGAGACCTTGAGAGATGACTGGATGTCTAACCCACCCTTCAGGGTGACCTATGAATTAGCTTCGAGCTATCTTGTTATAAAGGTCTGTGATGGAAATGCAGATGTTGCCAGCAGCTGAGCATTTGCCCTGTGGATATTAGCTATGTTTTGTATCAGTCTGTAAATTCATTTCAACATATCAGATAGCTTGCAATTTTAGAGTTCTGCTTAGCCTAAGGGCTGTATAGGGTGGGGACCCAAGATAAGGAAGAGACTAGTCCAATTGGTTGAAAGTTCATTTTTCTCCCAAAAAAGGTCAAAACATCTCAGCATTAGAATGCAGACTTAGGCACTTTTAGATCCTTGCTGTGGTTTGCTATGCTGGGGGCTGTTTTCCCCACAGCCTTATTCATAATAAAAGGTAAAGCTTGCAAGGCCTCCACAACTCACTGAAGATGGCCTTTGACAGGTCAATTTTGTTGCTTAGAATCATCCAGAAATCCAAAGCACACCATCTACAGCGCCTTCTTTTTAGGGAAGACTGGGTGACTGCAAAGCTCTGAAAACCAGCCCCTTCCTTCTGTTAAACTGATGGCTCCTACACACAGCCCATGGTTGTGTTTGGATAACCACTGGGGAAGCTGATGGGACCTTAGAAAGGAGCAGTCTCCAGGGCAAAGCCCTTGCCCCTTAAAGAGACGACACCAGCCGGGCAGTGGTGGCGCACGCCTTTAACCTCAGCCATCGGGAGGCAGAGGCAGGCGGATCTGAGTTCCAGGGTAGCCAAGGATACACAGAGAAACCCTGTCTCGAAGGAAAAAAAAAAAGGGAATGAAGCAAAGGTGTCACCTAGTTGCTGTACACATATGGACACAATGCAAGATCACAGAAGAGCTCCGTGGACACCAAGGGCCCACCTCCACCACCTCCTCCACCTCCTCCACCTCCTCCACCACACACACACACACACACACACACACACCCAGGTCCAGAATGGACCTAACCACATACATTTCTGACTCTTTAAGACCCAGGGGAGTGCTAATGCAAGCAGAACACACCAGAAAAAACTTATACACAAACCTGGTGGGAGGAAAAAAAAAAACATTCAAAATTTATTTCCGGACAGACAGCATCAGCAGGTAAAACTACAGCGTAGTTCACACATTCATTCACAGGGTGTGAGAAAGCCATGGCTGGTGTGTTCTCTGTAACAATATCCACTTCACAGTGTAAACAGCTGAACTGGCGAACCAGTGAACACTTGTCACTGGTTCACTTACAATCCCAGAAGGAAAGGCACAACTTGGCAAAAAAAAAAAAAAGAAAAAAGAAAAAGTTTTGGATCCTAAATTCAGGTGCAAGAACAAAGAAAGGGCAGGAGACTTTGGTGGACGAGTCTCCACCCTCATTTTGGCAACGGCATTTCACAGGGCAGGGAGAAATCTTCTACCCAGGAGCTAGAGAGATTAAGTCCCTCCTTCCTCATTAAACCATCTGAACACTGTTACAACAGCTGCTCAAAATTATTACATGTACAAAAATATAATTAAAAAAAAAAAAAAAAAGCCCAGAACCAACCATGGAGACATCTTGAACGAACATCTGGCCCTTCTCACCACATTAACTCTTAGGTTTAAGACCTGGGAATACTTTGCGGTCACAAAATAGCAAAATAGACTTTTTTTACTTTTGGGCTACAAAAATAAAAATAAATGAGGTAGATAAATTAAAGCCCTCACACCCAAGACTTGCCTGTCTCTACGTTATAACCTTCATCACGGCAGAGGGTGGGTGACGTGGAAATCTCCCAGACTTGGGATAAGAAAAGGATCGGTGGAGCAGGGATGAGATCCTGGCCCTGCTCAGTTTCCCCCTAAGAAGGAACATGAAGAACTTCGGCAATGCAGTGGGGCACGGTAGAACCACCTGAAATCACCTGAGGTTCCCCTCTCTGGTGCCCGGCCACTCCAGGGTCTGGGGAGAAGGTGGTTTGTGGGAGAAGGGGGGAGCAGGTGGCGCTCCTGGGGCTCCAAACCGTTTAAATAAGCAGCAGGGTAAGAGGTGGGCTCCCTAGGGACCAGGGTCAGTGTGTGGAGGGCATCTACAGAGGTTCTCAGGTTGGAGGAAGTGGGCTAATTGGACCGACCACCTTAGTTTTCTGAGGTTTCATTTCTTTCTCTTAAAGTACATTCAACAACAGAAGATGAATACAGGGTCCCTACAAATATGTCCATTTACCCGCATTAGTCACCATGGAAGTACACAGCACCCTTACCCCTGGATTGAGGTAAGTCATCACTTCCACTGTGGTCCAATTTGTCCCAACTGTTTCACTTTGAAACAGGTGCAGTCTTTGGAAACAGCCACGAGGTCACACAAAGCCTCCAGTATACAGTTTGTCCCAAGTTAACAAAGCTACTCTTCAAACCCGCTTCTTTCCCAAAACTTAAGTCCTTTTTTTTTCTTCTGTTTTTCAATTTTCTTTCTTTTTTTTTGTTTTTTGTTTTTTTGTTTTGTTTTGTTTTCATTTTTTGGAAAGCAGCATAGCAACAATCGAGATTGTAGGACTGCCCAAGGCTGTGGTCACAAGTGTAAACATCACTTGCATATCAGGAAGAGAAAAAGCAGGAGATGGGTAAGAAAACTAAACAATGAAGCAGATCTCACTCCAGCTACTCCCCTCTTTCGCCTTAGCTGACTGCGATCTTGTTTTCTTCCAGAAAGTGGGGGAACTGGTGCTTGGCCACACCATCGGGAACAGCAGCAGGCTTCTCCACACTCCCACTCACGGCAGACTGAGAGCCATCAAGCTTGGAAAGTGTGGCGCTGCTCACCACGGAGCTGGCCCCCAGGGACACTGGCAGGGTGGGGATGCCTCCGCTCTGGATCACAGAGATCTCATTGGTCTTCATGGCCAGACCCCCATTGAGGACGCTGGTATACTGGTTCCACGTGGCAGGGTCTACACTCACCGTGGGGGACAGGAGTTCCTTGGGAAACATCTCAGACACTCTCTTGCCCTCTGCACCTAGCACAGCCACGGTGTTCTCTATGGCCAGCTTCCTGCCACGCCGGGCGGAGTTATTGTTAGCCCCATGTGTCATGTAGTGTACCTGTGGGGGACAGCAAGGAGGGTTCATCAGGTAAAGTCCCCTGCCTGTTCGAAAGCCTAAGTCAATCTCCATATGCTCGTTCACCTCCAAAGGGTGCACACCATCCAACCTTCATAATCCTATCCTTTTTCTTAGAAATTAGACCAGCGGTGGTGGACAAGCTTTTGAGAGGTAGTACAGTACAGCCTTGAGTTCAAGGGCAGCCTTAGCTACATAGTGAGACCTTATATCAATAAGCCAAAAAAATAATCAATTCAGGTATATGGACTGTTTGAGAGCATGTCTAAATATGTATGAGGAAAGAGGAGAGAACAGTCTAGCTACCCTTTGCCAACACCCTACCAACATTAATAAGGGTAGGGAATACTCGCCAGGCACATCTGCCTAGCCATTCATGGGTGCATTTACATAAACGTCTACTACTCATCAGACATCATTGCAAATGTGAACATCTATGAATTCACAAACCTGTTCTGGGCCAGAACATCACACTTAACTGAGTAGCAGTGAAATGGAAAAGCGCTGTGTAAGCGGACTGTCCAAGCTGAGATTCATGGGACTGTCCACTGTGAGATTCTCGGCCCCATATAACTATTACTTTTACAACCCTACTGTGGGGAAAAGGAGGCAGGAACTTCTCTCACTACATGTCAATCTCACAGATACGCAAATGGAAATATTACTTAAAAGGTAATTTAGGCTGGACAGTGATGGCGCACGCCTTTAATCCTAGCACTTGGGAGGCAGAGGCAGGCGGATTTATGAGTTCAAGGACAACCTGGTCTACAGAGCGAGTTCCAGGACAGCCTGAACTACAGAGAAACCCTGTGTCTTGGGAGAAGAAAAAAAAAAAAAAGAGAGACTAACATTGGATACTCATTCTCCCCACCCCCACACCTTCACCTCTCAAGAACTGGAACCACCAAGCCTGCTTTAGAAGGTGCTAGGGATACCCCAAGGGCTTTTATGAATACTAGGCAAGTACCTCAAGACCAGCTACACTCCACAATAACTCTTAAGCTTTTCTTGTAGTGCAGGAGATCAAACAGACTCCCGAATGAAACCAGTGTCTCCAACACCAAGTGGAGAGAGGCATCCCACATAGGTATTGAGAATTGAACTGGGGGTCTCTGCAAGAACAGTAAATGCTTTTTAGCCCTGAGCCATATCTCTAGAGTATTGGGATTACAGGTTTGATTCACTGCACCTGACCACAATGCTTTATCTCACCAAGTTCAAACGCATCAGTTTGGGACTAGAGAGATGGTGGAGCAGTTAGGAGCACTCTTGCAGAGCCTGAGTTCAACTCCAGAACCCACATGGTAGCTCAAAAACAATGACTTCTGATTGATTACCTTCCTCTGACCTCCATAAGTACAAGGCACAGACGTGCTGCACATACACGCAGGCAAAACACTTGTACCCACAAAAGACAGCGAGGTATGGTGGCTCACACCTATAATCCCAGCAATCAGGAGGAGTTTAAACCAGCCTAGGCTCTAGAGACACAAAACAGCTTACCTAGCAACTTACCTAGCAACCATAAGACTCTGGGTTCGACACTAAATCAAATAAAAACTAGGTTTGGTGGTAGTCTGTCACACTAGCAGTCAGGAGGTACCAGCAAGGTCATGAGTTCATTAATGGGGCCAGCCTGGAACATCTACCTTCTCTGCCAAAACAAAAGCTTCACCTGCTGGCTGAGATGTTGCTGTACTCTGGTTCTTCTTTTTCTCTTCTGTTTTTTGTTTTTAAACAGGATGTGTGTAGGCCTGGCTGTCTTGGAATTCACTGTGTAGACTAGGCTGGCCTCAGAGATACACTTGCCCCCCTCTCTTTCTCTCTCTCTCTCTCTCTCTCTCTCTCTGCCTTCTCGGTGCCAGAGTAAAGGCAGGACTACAATAGTTTTCCCCTTTAGTGGTGCTGTGGCTGGAGCCCAGAGCTTGCGGATGTTAACCCAACACTCTGCTACTGAACTGCGCCCTACCCCCATTCCCTTCTTTTTTGAAGACAGGGTCCTACTATGTAGCCTTAGCTGGCCTGGAACTTGCTATGTAGACCAGGTTGGCCTCCAACTCAAAGAGAATCCCTCTGCTTCTGCGTCTGGGGGATGAAAAGACACCATAAACTGACTGATGTTTTCTATCCATAGAGACGCCACACACCAATCAATCAGTGCTCATCAACACCCATCATCAGAACCCACCTTCAGGTTGCCTTTAGTGGTGAAGGCTCGCCCACATATGTTGCAGACAAAAGGCTTTTCTCCTGTGTGCGTGCGCTCATGGATCTGGAGAGCACTGGCAGATGAGAAGTTCTTTCCACACCGGGTACAGCAGTGTTGTTTGGCCTGTCGGCGAGGCTGGGCTGCTAGCAAAGGCGTCATGCCTGAGGACAAGCTAGAGGGTCCCACAAAGGTGCCAGGAACTTCAACTTTGACATAGGTGGGCTGTGCTCGGATAAATGTTGACGGGATGCTGGTACGACCTAATGTGGAGAAGGGGAAAGAGATAAACCTCTATCATCTCATGTCCAACTCACTATTTAAAACAAACCCTCCACAACAATTGTCTAAGCGAGTTGAGTAGTTTACAATCATAGTTCAATCCACAGCAGCTCGCTTAGAATTCTGTGTGTGTGTGTGTGTGTGTGTGTGTGTGTGTGTGTGTGTGTGTGTGTGCACGCGTGCACACACATGGAGATGTGGTGTGGAAGTTCAAAGGCAGCCTTGGCTGTTCCTGTTACCAATCACGTCTTGGAGACAGGGTCTCTCATGGATCTAGAGTATCCGTAAGTGGGCTAGGCTACTGGCCAGTGAGCTTCGTCTCCCACCAGCCAGCACCAGTTCTAAGCGCATCCCAGCATGCCTGGCCTTTTACATGGAGACCTGAACTCCAATCGTTAATACAAGCCTGACCTCTTTGAGTTCTTATTTACACAAAAAAATAAAACTCAAATACTCAGGAAAATTTGCCTTTTTTTATGCTTTAAAGCATGGGTAACATAGAATATGTGTGCAGATTAAAGTATCATTGTCAGGGTTCGGGCTTATCATCTCAGCTACTTTGCTGGGAGGTAGAGGCAGGAGGATGTGGAGTTCAAGGATCGCCTTGACTGCAGAATGAATTCAGGCCAGTATCCTACCCAACCCCCTGAAAAAAAGCCAGATACGGTGGTGCATGCCTTTAATCCCAGTATATAAGAGGCCGAGGAGGCAGGTGATCTCAGGTTTGAAGTCATCCTGGTCTATATAATGAGACCCTATCTTAAAAAATAAAAGGATGGAGGCTAGGGGGCTGTTGCCTAGAGAAAAGATATCCTGGGTTGAAATCCCAGCACCACAATAAACGAAGTCACCACCTTCACACCATATCTAGGCATTTTCTGTGATTCTAATGAGGTATTCTGGATCAACAGACATCTCAATTGATACATCTAACATAAGGTACAGTCTTCATATGTGAGCACTGTGTTTCCTAGCAGGACCTCAGTTCCAAGCAACTACTGCTTGATTTCCGTGGTCCAAACAGTGCCTACTTCCCTAAACACACCTACCCAGGGGTCAAACTAAAAAAAAATTTAAAAAAAAATTCAAACAAAACCAACATCCATGCTGTCCACACTCAGCCTGCATGACCCAGGATAAACGAACAGAAAGCCTACCAGGACCCTCTACCCGGAAGAACAGAATAGCTAACTGTCCTACAGAAACTGCTTCAAGTCACACTGTCAAGTTCAACCCAGGCTCCTTTCCTGGTGACCTTGAGCCCCAAAGGGACATTAAGTGACATCCAAAGCTTCATCACCTTCCATGTCAATGCGGCAGCTCTCGACACCCTCAGCCTTGTTCACCTCGGGAGACCGGGACTTGACACTCTCGGCTTGGCTATTGGCAGGGGACACGGCCTGGAAGCACATGGTCTCCGTGGTGTCTGGGCTTCGGCTCTGGCACTCCTGGTCACCCAGGAGGGAGGACGAGTCATTGGTCAGGCAGTTGTCACTCTCCACCGAGCCGTTTTCTCGGCTGCTCTGCCGCTGCAGGCCCAAAGGGTGAGGAGCCCCCTTTCCCTGGGCCTCCAGGGAAGCCATCACAGAAAAGCCCAGAATGGGTGACACCAGGTGGGTACTGGGAACGGATGTGGAGACCTTTGAAGAGACACTGGGTCCGTCCTGGGGACAGATGCCATCTGCTTCAACCCTTTCCACCACGTCTTCCTGGCAGAGGGCATTGGCATTGCCGTTCTCGCTGATGGCCATGGGCTCAGGACCTGTAAAGTCACAGGGACTCTCCGGCAGGGGTGTGTTAGGGATCTGGCCACCCATGTGCATCCGGATATGTTGCTGTAACATGACGGCATTGGTGAACTTCTTCTGGCAGATGGGACACGAGTGTTGCGTTTTTATGGCGGTGTTGGTCCGGTGCACCCCCAGGTGCGTCTTCAGATTGCCTTTGGTGGAGAAGGCCCGGCCACAGATCTTGCATTGGAACGGCCTCTCCCCTGTGTGGGTGCGGTAATGCATCTTGAGGGAGCTCTGACAGCTGAGCACTCGGTGGCAAATGAGACACTCGTTGGGGTCAGTAGTGGCTTTGTCAATGTTCTCCACAAGCTGCTGCAATTTCAGAGTCTCCGATCCTGACTCCGGGGTCCCACTCCCCTGGAAGACCCCAACCCTTGGAGGATTATGCACTAGCCCCACCCCAAGGAGTGGAAGTCCCACCTCATTTTCTGGAGAAGGCCCTGGCTGCATGTCGTTGGGCAGGGAGCCACCCATGAGGTCCTTGGGGTTAGGCCCTGAAGTCAGCTTTTGAGGTAGCCCTATGGAAGGGGTTCCTGTGACATGGACAGGCTCGGTGTCTACAGACAGACTTGATTCATCTACAGAGATGGGGACAGAGAGTGAATAGGGGGGGCCGGTGCCTCCCGCCACTTTGTCCTGGAATTCGGCAAACAGCTGGGGGTTTGCCTTCACCTGAGGGTGTCGGTGGAAATGTACCTTGAGGTTGCCCTTGGTGGTGAATCGGTGACCACAGACAGAGCACACGTAAGGTCTCTCTCCAGTGTGGGAGCGGAGGTGAATCTGCAGGGAGCTATCGGTCCCGAAAACCTTGCTACAGTACTTACACTTGTGTTTGCCGAGGATGGCCTCGTCCTTGGCCTTGACATCCAACGTGGCCGCGGAGATGTTTGGGGGCTTCCCCTTCCCTTTCTTGGATGGATCGAGTGCCACAGTGGAGAAGGGACTCTGAAGAAGCACAGAGCCCGGGGTTTGAGGTAGCAGGGCACTTGGGAGACGAGACATGAAGTTGGGGAGAACCCGAGTCCCATCAGGCTTCAAGGTGAAGGGGGTAAACCCAGGAGACAGCGAGTTTGCTGTCGAGGGGACACTGGCATGAGGTAGTTTGGCTGGTTTCAAGGCATCGAGAGACAGAGCCGGGTTTGAGGATTTCTGGCTGAGCAGGGCCACAGCTGCGGACACCTGCTGGGATACGGACACCTGCTGAGACACGTGGTTGCTCAAGGCCTTCAGGGTGTCGGCACCGGCCACTCCAGAGTGGAGGGCATGCGCAGCCCACATGTTCACCTGGATGCGGATTTGTTCTGTGAGCTGGATCTGTTGGAGCTGCTGCTGCTGCAGACACAGGATCTGCTCCAGGACCCACGGGATGCTGTGGGCAACCGGCACGGGCGCTGCAGGGGCATCCGCACTCCGCTGGTTCACCGCCACCTTGGTGCCACGGAGGGCCTGCAGAGTCACATTGGTGTTGGCCACCTTGCCTTTGGGTAAATAGCTTATGTCCTGGGGTGCGGTGGGCAGAGCGGGCTCTGTCTTTAAGTACAGGATGGAGTCTGTGCCCAGCTTTTCCTTCGAGTCCCCTGAGCTGCTGCTGCTGCCCTGGGGACTGTCCTTATTGCTTGGGCTGTCCGGATGGTGGCCGAGGACAGCTCTGGGGAAGTCCTCTGAAGGCACTGGCCCCTCACTGTCATTCATAATGAGGACAGGAGGATTTTTAGGGCAACTTTTTTTGTGTTCCATGAACTCAGAGAGACTGAAGAACTCAGCGCAGCACTTCTCACAGATGTGAGTCTCCTCCCGCCGGAAGCGCTTCACCGGGGCCGCGTCCTCTGTCAGTCTGTCGCCATTCCCTAGGGAGTTCACTGGAGCACCTGTGCAAGGAGAGAAAAAGGTAAGCACAGACGGACAGACAGGTCTCTGTTACCACCGGTCCCGATTCAGGAAGACTGTGTATGGGACAAAGTCCCTACAGCCTGAATGACCTAAACAGGGTGTAATGAGACTCACGTCTCCCCTAGAAGACACACACCCCATGCCCGTCTGTGTGCATGACTTTATCTGGATAGAGTCTTTTTTTAAAGTCTCACTTAGCACAGGCAGCCCCAAACCTGCTTTGTAGCTGAGGCTGGCTTTGAACTCCTAACCCTCCTTGCCTCTGCTTCCAGAGTACTAGGATTACAAGCGTCTGTTACCATGCCCAGCTTGGACAGGGGGTCTTTGGCAAACATTGGGCTGGATCTTTTTTTTTTTTTTTTTGGAGACAGGGTTTCTCTGTGTAGTTTTGGTGCCTGTCCTGGATCTCGCTCTGTAGACCAGGCTGGCCTTGAACTCACAGAGATCCGCCTGGCTCCGCCTCCCAAGGGCTGGGATTAAAGGCATGAGCCACTGCCCAGTTTAGGCTGGGTCTTAAACTAGAGTACAGCATCACTCCAAGAGGAAAAATAGGGACCAGTGAGGCAAGACACAGTCACAGAGAACGGGGACTTGAGAAGGCCAAGGCAGAGATGGAGTCAAGGGGCTTCACCAAGAACTACCGAGACCATTCATGGGAACCGTATCCGTTTCCCAGAGCCTCTAGGAGGAACCCTGTCACCTAAACTCAGACCTTCCACACCTGTGACAACGAATCAACTGCTGCTATCCAACTTGTCATTAGGGGCAACAGCACAGGATAAGCTGCTTTTTACCTCGTGGTAGTTATAGCAACACAGGATACACAGCTATCTTACTAAGGATCTTACTTTGTAGTCCAGGCTAGCACTGAATTTACAGCAATCCCACCTCAGCCTCCCAGGTGCTAGGATTATAGCCATGTGCCATTACTAGATGGTTAAGCCAACCCCCACTAATCCCTGGAAAGGCCAATAGAGGACAGCCAATACCAAGGACATTGAAACTGGGTCAAATCCTACCTGATCTCCACCATGACCCAAGCAAAATGGAATATAGTAAATCACATTCAACCCAGGCGGTAAGCATCCATCACCCAGGGGTGACAAGTTCAAAGGTGCCACCAAGACAACACCAATCCATCCCAGATGACAGAAATTTAAACGTGCTGCTAACAAGACAACACCAATCCATCCCGGATTAGGCAAGTCTGTGATATTTAGGGATGGGGGGGGGGGGCTGAGGCTGAAGGATCATGAGTTCAAGGCCCAGTTCAAGTTGGGCCTTGGGGACCTTTAATCCCAGCACTTGGGAGGCAAAAGCAGCCAGATCTCTGAGTCCAAGACCAGCCTGGTCTACATAGCAAGTTCCAGGCCATTCAGTGAGACCCTGTCTCAAAAACAAAAATCCAAAGACAGGCTGGTATGGAGCATTAAAGGCCAGCTAGTTAACTCAGGTGAGACAGGTTCGATTCAGGGATATAGCTCTGTAGTAGAGAGCTTGACCAGCATGCAAGAAGTTCTGAGTTCAATCCCCGGTACCACACACACACTTGGAACATAGAACACAGTCCACCCGGTGAATGTGCAAAGGACAAGAATCTCTCTAAAATTTCTCTACCTGGGAAAAACTACTGACATAGACTGGTGATGTGTGCAGACAGACTCCATGTCCTCTCCATGGGAAGTCTGCTGTGTACCACTTAGGATCCACAAGCCTTGACATAAAAATAGAAATGCAAAAATAGAAAGAAAAAAAATGGGAGGAGGTCTGGTGCACATCTTTAATCCTAGTACTCAGGAGGCAGAGGCAGGAGGATCTCTGTGAGTTTGAGGCCAGCCTGGGCTACAGAGTGAGAAACCCTGTCTGGAGAAATCAAAAAGAAAGAAATGGAAGGCCAACACCCCAGTATTCCACCTGCTACCATCCGACTCCTAAGACATTAAACACAGAGGAAGTCAGGGCTCTTCTACTTGGCCTTTTCCAGCGTTAAGACAGCGCAGCGGTAATGCCTTCCACAGACTGGTGTTTAGGGTTCTGAGTCCTTTCTCCCTGAATTATTTGTCTGTCTGTGGCCACGTGCATGGGTTTGCTCATGCAATTCCACGAATGGAAGTCAGGACAACTTGTGTGAGTTGGTTCTCTCCTCCGTCCGCTGGTGCGTCTTAACCAGCTGAGCCATCTTACAGACCTAGATTGAGTCTTCAATACTGTTTTCTGAGACTCTCACATAGGCCAGTCTGATCCTCATCCTCCTGCCTCTTCCTCCCAAGTGCAGGATCTACACCTGTGGAGGGAGAGAGTGGATCCTGTGGATTCAACCTAGAGCCTCACAGGCTGGGGAAGCACCCTAGCTCACGCTGCATCACAGCAAAATCCATGGTTTTTGACTGATGAGGCTGCCAAGTTCAATCTAGCACAGCCTTAATAAAACTCTCAACTGAGTGACAGGATGGAACTTATGAGGCGTGCGTGGCTGAGGGAAGGGACAATAGCCCGAAACATTGGAATGCCAAGGTACCAAGTTCCAAGTACTAGACTTACACCTTAAGAATGTTTATCAAGGGCTAGAGAGATGGCTCAGAGGTTAAGAGCACTGCTTGCTCTTCCAAAGGTCCTGAGTTCAATTCCCAGCAACCACATGGTGGCTCACAACCATCTGTAATGAGATCTGGTGCCCTCTTCTGGCCTGCAGTGATACATGCAGACAGAACACTGTACACATAATAAATAAATAAATCTTTAAAAAAAAAAAAAAAAAGAATGTTTATCAAGGGGCCGGAGAGATGGCTCAGTGGTTAAGAGCACTGGACCTGGGTTCTTGCATTAGACCTGGGTTTAACCCCCAGCCCCCACACGATAGCTCAAAACTATCTGTAACTCCAGTTCCAGGGGATCTGATGCCCTCCTCACCTGTAGGTGCTGCATGGACATCACACACACACACACACACACACACACACACACACACACACACACACACACACACACAAAGGATAAAGAAGTCCTCATAAATGTAATGCAACTAGGCCCTCAGACCAGTGACTTTAAGCCATGCCTCAAACATTACTCTGCAGTTCTTACTGCACAAGGAAGGGGACACTAGGGACCCTGCCTCAAGTCTTTCAGGGTCAGTCTGGGCTACCTAGACACCTTGTCTCGATCGATATCACACCTTTCAGGATACTGCCCAAGCAGGGAACACAGTTTTTACACCAATGCTGCTCAGTCAATCCTATTTCAAGACTCCAGCATCAGATCGGCTCAAAAGAGTGCTTGCTCTTCTTCCAGAGGACCAGGGTTCGATTCCCAGCAACCACCTGGTTGCTGTAACTGTAACTCTAGTTCAAGAAGATCCAACGCCCTCCTCCTCCTCCTCCTCCTCAAGCACCAGGCATAAACAGTCACACTCAAAGCAAAAAATGCAAATTGTAAAATAATCAGCTGGTGTCTGGTGGTGGTGGTGGCGGCGGCACACATCTTTACTCCCAGCACTCAGGAGGAAGAGGCAGGTGGATCTCTGAGTTCAAGGCCAGCCTGGTCTACAGAGCTAGTTCCAGGATAGCCAGGGCTACACAGAGAAACTCTAAAATTTTTAATTAATTAATTAATTAAATCTTTAAAAAAAAAAAAAAAAAAAAACCTCCTCTGGGAGGAACAGGTACAGAGAGGTAGGCAGCCACACGTGAAGGCGTGTAACTTCCCTGCACGGCTGACTATATGAATTTTATCCTCTGCCTCAGCAACGCCAATGTTTGCACACAGCAACACCAGCAGCTCTTGGTCTCTCAAGTTTCCAGTTAGATAAATGAAGAGCAAACCAGAAAAATGACGTTAGACTCGCTCTTCAGTACCGGTCATGGTGCTATTGGGCGCCCCCACCTGTGAAAAATATACTCAAAAACAACTCTGTCTTCTCTAGGAGAACACGAGAGTTTGCCTTGTTTGTTGTTTGTTTTTGTTTTTAGGGAAGGGGTTCTCTGTGTAGCCCCTGGCTGTCCTGGAACTTGCTCTGAAGATCATGCTGGCATTAAACTCAGAGATCCACCTTCCTCTGCCTCCCGAGTTCTGGGACTGAAGGCCACCAGGCCTGGCTGCACCACTTTTCCTGTTGTTTGAACTGAGCGCTCACAGACCACACTGGCCCTGAATTCACTGTAGCCCAGGCAGCCGCAAACTTCTGTTTCTGCCTCAACCAGGATTATAATACTTCAGCACTTCAGGCCTTGCTGCCCAAGAATTTTTAGGAGAGAAAGGAATTTTCTGAAAGGCAGGAAACAGGCTGGGCAGGGTGGGTGTATAAAAACATAAATGTCTACAGGGAAGTGAAACTCCTGCCTCCTAGACAAGGCCCGGGAGCCTGGGATAGAAAACTGTGGCCATGGCTGTGCTCGAACTCGCTTTGTAGAACAGTTTGTCTTGGAACTCAGAGATGCCCCTGCCCCTGCCCCTGCCTCCTAAGTGCTGGGGTTAAAGGCGTGCGCCACCACGGCCAGTCAGTCCCTTTCAAATTGGCACCAACTAGTGTAGGGTGCAAGCGCTTCCAGTGAAGTACTGTCTCCATTCTGCCTTCGCACCTCACCCACTCTGGAAACCACTGATGCACAGACCATTCATTCATTCTGCTCTCTCCTGAGGCTGGGTCAAGTGTCCCAGACCGCCCTCCAACGCTTGTCCAGATGACCTTCAACTTCCAACCTCCAGCTTCCAGCTTCCTAGTGCTAGAATATTAGAACGCACGCAACACCAACCATATCTAGTTTTAAGTTTTCTGAAAGGCTGAAGATGGACCCTACAGCTTAGCTTCAAGCAAGCACTCTACCAACTGGACCACATCCCCATCTGTCTTTAAAAGGCCAAAGCATTCTCCAAGCATAGCCACACCATACTAAGCCATCTTTGTTAGTCAGGCAATTGAAGTATCTTTGAACCCATTTTGCAGATGTAGACTAGACACTAAGGTTCAGCAAGAATTAAGTAACCACAGCTACTTCTTAAAACGTACTGCATCAGTTTCTGGAGAGTTTTTCCATTTCTCACTTAATTGCTTCATGCCTCATGAAATGTTCAAATCAAGTGTTTGTTGACCTCGGACATACCAATAACCAGACTCTTGCGATTCTGAAGCAGGCATTTTTAAATTTTGTTTTGAGACAAGGTCTAGCTATGTAGCCTAGGCTGTCTTTGAACTCACTATGTAGCTTAGGCTGACTCCAAATTCCTGGCAAGCCTCCTGCCTCAGCTTCCCAAGTACTGGCATTTATTATAAGCGTGTACTACTGTACCAGACTCTAAGGCAGCAGTCTTAACCTGGAATCCATTAAACTTATCTAAGATCTACTATTTCTTTCAGGCACGTAAGGGACATGAGACCTAGTATGAACAGCACCTAAGACTGTCAAAACCAGAAACTACAAATGTTCTCAGAGTGCTATGGCTCTTGCACATTCTGGATAACTGTGGCATTTGACTGGCAGACAGGATACCAGACCTGCCATTTTATTAATAAAGGGGTACACGTTACTACAATAGTTCCCTAATATCAGTAAAGGGGATGGATCCTGTAGACTCCAAAGGCAGAGGCTCAGAGGGGTCCTGTCTGTTACTACCAGCTCACCCTGTGGTATAACCCCCACCCCCACACACTGGGTATTGAGCCCAAGCCTTCACACCAGCTAGGGGAGGGACTCTCCCACTGAGCAGTATCTCCAACCCTCAATCTTTAATCTCCAGGACTTAGCATACCCACATGCAATGCAAATACCATGTAAATAGTTCTCAGACTGCATTGTTTAGGGGAGAAATGGCCAGAAACAATAGCCAGGAGCACCGGCTCACCTTTGCCATTTTCAAGAATCTGGGGGGTGGGGGGGTGATAAGAAGGACTAAATGTCTGTTCGCTCTGGTCACTGTACTTTGTTCCCTAGTATCCTGTGCATCTTAACATTGGGCTGGGAAGGAACCTATGGCACAAACTCTGCTCCAAAGGATCCACCAGTTCCAAGTGATTTACAGCCAGGACGCCAACTGCCTTCACTGTATACACAAGCCCCAAAGCCAGCCTCTCCCCCTCCAGCCTGGCCGCTCACTGCACCAGCAACATCCCACTTAAAAACTTCAGCCGCTGTTTGCTTAGGCAGTAAAAAAAAAAAACCCAACCCGTCCATACCACCATCGGCAAATAGTGGGACCAGTATTTGCCAAGGAGTAAGAGGACCCTGTTAGGAACAATTGGTGGCTATGCTTAAGTTAGCCTGAAGGAAAGGGAAGCCAAAGTCCACAGGGATAGCGCCAGCAAGCCAGGGCTTCCAACCCCCACCCCGAATTTTAGGAATGTTATCTCTCCAGCATCTAGTTATCCAGTAAGTTGGAAGAATGCAGTAAACCCAGCAGGGGTCTCAGATTCAATCTCAGCCAGATGGATGGAAAATACGCTTACTATTGTATAAGAAGAGAGCTAATCAGCCAGGAGGCCAATCCCTGGCCGGAGACACTCAAACAGCTAAAAAATAAAATAAAATCTGTAGATCTCGATAAAAGCCTGGCGACTCAGGCTTTGCTTATCTGTTACTGGCCCTGTATTAGGAGAATGACAATGAGCAGCTTACCTAAGGCACACCGTATCTTAGGCCCAGCCCTGCCTCCAGGATAAGTGATTACCAAAAAACAAAAAGGAATTATGTCTCTGGGTATTATTGACCCAGCTGTAAGGGCTTTTTTTTTTTAAACCAGTTTCATATAGCAAGCCTTGAAATCTACGTGTATAGATCAGATTTGACCCGATATTTAAGTCTCTACTTAATCAAAAAACCCACAAAAATTAAAAGCAGTCATGGATCAAAGTTCAGGGGCCCCGTGGAAACGATTTTTAAAGGGAGAGCCACTGGAACGGCTCAGTGTGTAAAGATGCTTGCTTGCCACCACATCTAACGACTTAGACCAGCTAGCTTCCGACATCCACATACACACTGTAATTGTGGCAGCACACAAAATAAAAAATTGAATTTTTTAAGGGCCAAAGGCTCAAAATAAACCTTATGTAAATAAGGGATGCCCTGTCACCTCCTGCCTCAACTGGAACAAGCTTGCACACTCCACGACAGAGCAGAGTTCTCTCTCCCTGGAAATGAGAGGCTGTCTGTCTCCAGCCTGTCTCCAAGGCTTTAACATGTTCAGGTGTGTTTGTTAAAAAACGTACAGATTAAAGTGATTAGTAACCTCCTCAATTCATTTCCTATTCATCATATTTTCAAATCACATGCTCCCGAGAAATGAACCCAAGCTGTTTTAGTTCTGATTGTTTCCCGGGGGTCCCATCACCCACAGCTTCTAAGGGCGATTTGAAAAGTCGAAGGGGGGCTGGCTACAGCTTCCAATCCCAGCAGTGGGGGCAGAGACAGGAGCCCACAACCCTGGAGAGGCTGGGATGGTTATGGTCACAAAGATGCCATGGCTACAGAGACAGACCCTGTGTGGAGGAAAAGCGGACCAAACCAAATCAGCTTCAACCTCTACCCATGGCCACCTCTTACAGAGACCATCCCATCACCAGTTGCTCTAGGCTCCCCATGGATTCAAGGAAGGCTAAAGTCAAGTCGGAGCAAAACCATGCACCAGGCCATGCCACCCGGGTAGCCTCCATTAACTTTCCAGTGAGTAAAATTCCAAAGCTACTTCAGTTCTACGGATTAACGGTAAGGTCTTGCAAGGTCCCAGCCTGGGGTCTGGCACACAGCATGTTCCTGTTTCTAGAACTAGTAAAAACATCTTGAACAAAGTTACTGATCACACTCCCAACACACAATATGCTTCTATAGCACATGTTTTCACTGCCAGTGTACACTAGTACCCAAAGTCAGCTCTCTCTCTCTCTCTCTCTCTCTCTGTGTGTGTGTGTGTGTGTGTGTGTGTGTGTGTGTGTGTGTGTGTGTGTAGAGAATCCACCTAGACAAGGCTATACCCAGAACGGAACGCTGACCCTCTTACCAAATCTTGCCAAAATCCTTTCTCCCAAACTCTCCTTTGACACTTTACATCCAAAAGGCGGAAATGCGAAACGGTTAACCAAGTCTCAGCGCCCAAAATGGTCCCCCAGTCCCCTACTTAGATGGGAGTCTGCTAACCCCTCATCACCAATGACAAAGTATCGTTTTCTAGCGGCCGTGCACCATTGAGGGTGAGGGAATGCATTTTACATGCAATTTAATGAATAAAAAAGGTCCTCTGCAAATTACAGCCCCCTCCCCCTTTGGGGAACTCTAAATTTGCTTGAAACGTTAACTAAAGCCAGCACAGGCAGGTCAATAGAGGCTGGAAACAGGAGCTAAATTACTAAAAACCTGGGAATCGTAATAGCTGAAGGTTGTAATCCAGTTTAGCACAAAGGGCATTTGGAACCCTTTTGAGAAAATGCTAATTTTCCTCTAAGTACTGTAAGCCCCCTCTCTCTTCGACCACCTGCAGATTTTTTGATCTGCTAATTATTGCCCGGATTTCATTTTCTTAGCTCAGAAACTGCATTCTCCAACGGACTGACCACGAGGGATCCAAACGCTTCGCAATGAAGATTTTAATCATCTATCGATACTGAGACTGATCCCAAAAGGAAGCCATTAAATTAAAAAAATAAAAGTCTTTCTCCAAGGCCACAAGCTAGGGCTCCGCAAATACGTTCTAAGAATTCTTGGAGAAGACTCCTACACGTACAAATGGAGATGGGGAAGGTAGGGACCTCGCCGAGATCCCCCGGGTGCAGATCTCAGGGCCCAGCTTGCCTCACTCACCAGGTGTGTGTCCCGGTCCGCACATGACCCGTTTCCAGAGGGCTCCAGAGGGCGCCAGAGCGCTTAGCGGCCGGGATCGGACCGCGGGTGATCCGCAGAAAACGCTTCCCAAACCGCTGTAGCAGCGCGCGCCCAGCGGCCTCAGGGCGCAGCCAGGTTAACCGCGACTGCAGCCAGCGGAGATTTCGGAAGCCCTTCTATAGCAAGCTACTCATCCACGCCCTCCCAGAATGCAAACCACGGTCTAAAAACACAAAAACCACGCTAGTATGCGCTCACCCAAATGGAGGGGGATGGGAGGTCAGCGCAGGACCAGGGGAGGGGTCAGGGCCGGGAGCTCGCCCCTCCTCTCCCGAGGAAGCAGGCGGGCTTAGGGTTAACCCTTTTGTTCCAGGTGGACCAAGCGACCCAGCCTCTCCGCGATCCGTCCCCCCCCCCAACCCCCGCCAGCTCCCCTGGCCAAGGCACAAAGAGTCCTTCCCAGCTGCCGGGCCCTATGATGTGGGATGGTCCGACGCCCCAAAACTCACATCCACTCCCTCGACCAAGCAACGACCTTTCCATTTGCCCTGGGGGGTAGGGATACAATGGGGTGGAGGCTCACTGAACTCTTGATAAACTCGGGAAGTTGCGGAAAAGTAGGAACGCACTGCCGGGAAAGCGGGAGCGTCCCAGTTGAGCGCGCCGAGTCCGCCGCTGCCGCGCACCGCCCACCAAGCGCGGAGAGCTGGAATCGGGCGGGAGGCCCAGGGGGGCCCCCTCCCCCACGTTCCCAATTTCTCCGGCGACAGTCCGGCGGGCTGGGGCGAGGGGCTGGTGGAGACCGGCTGGGAAGGCGCTCGCCCGCAGCTCACGGCCGCGCCGAGGTCCTGAACTCCGCGGAGGCGCGGGCCGGGTCAACCGCAGCCCGACCTCTCCCCTTTCACCTCCCGGGCGTGTGCTGAGCAGTGCCGCCCCAGGGATTCGTGCAAAAATATAAATAAATAAAACGGCGAAGGTGCAATCCGGCGGGGGTGACCATGCACCCTCCACCCGGGCCCCGGCCGGCACCCTCCCGCTGGCCACTGTTATTTTTAGATAGTCGGAAATCAAAGATGGCTGGAGGTCAGGCCCCGAAAGGTTAGGGCGAGGATCGGCAGCAGGCGGCGTAGCCCCGGGGGAAAGGCGGAAAACAGAAAAAGTAAACAAAATACATAAAATTACAAAAAAAAAATAAAATAAAAGCCCCCAAAGGGAACTAAACCAAGTAGCCTCCCCCGCTCTCTGTGCTGCGCGGGTGGCCCGCACCCCGGCCTGGGGGTGGGGAGAGGTCGCGCCCCCTCCCCCCACTCGGCCTGGGAGGGGCGCGTGCAACAGATCGCCCTCCTCGGGGGGTCCCCCAGAGCTGCGCCCCCCCAGAGGCTCCCAAGGGGGTGGCAGAGAGGGTGGGAAGACTTGGGGGTCTCTTTCTTTTAAAAGCGGCGCCACCAGAAAGTGTGGGAGAGGGAAGCCTAAGTTACCGGGGTTGGGGAGGGGGGGGTGCTTGTGTATCGAGGCGAGGGAAACCAATTATGGGACTGAGGACAAGGAGAGGCAAGCTGGAGGAAGAGAGAGACAGAGGGAAAATGGGGGGCCAACTTCACCATAAGAAAGAATTGGGGGAAACTTTCATGGGGGGTGGAATTGAGCTACCTCTCTCCGTCCCTCTCCGTCTCTCCTTTCCCGGAACGGAGTCCGGAATCCCCGTTCCAGAATCTGCTCCCGGAACCCGCGCCCTCGAGGGACGCACGGCGGTGCAGGGAGCGCCCTCCCGGGACGCACGGACAGACGGGCGCACGGACGGGGCCGCAGCCGCACTCACCCGGTTCCTCCGCCGCCGGCGCCTCTGCGAGGTCGGGGCTCGGCTGCTGCAGCGGCTGCTCGCCCTGGCCCTCCTCCGAGTTGATGTGCTGGGGCTTCGCCTGCTTGCGCCTCGACATGGTGCGCGCATCGGGGCGCCGGGAAGAGCCCCTGGTGACTTGCCACCAATTCCTGGAGTTGGGAAATTTTACCCCCCTTCGGCCGGAACGCGCATGTCCCAGTAATTATTATTATCAATAATGCATTGCGATTTATCATGAGCCCTGACAGCTGATTGGCCTGGGTCCAAGACCTCAGAGATCATTTAAATAAGCCCTCATTGATCAGGGAGGGGCGAGGCATGCTGGGCCTTGTAGTCCGGCCCTACATGTGACAAAGGCGTGTTCATCAGGGAAGCGTAGCTAATTAGCATCCGGGCTCAGATTGGCCGGGGCGTGGACCAACTCGGAGGGGACCATCCTCGCGGCCACTGTCCGTGTGCTGGGACCAGAGAAGTAAAAGCGGAGAAATAGGTTTATTGAAAACCAGGGCTGGACATGAAAGTTCTAGAACCGATGTGTCTTGGTAATGCAATCAAAAATATTACTGTAGTAATTGGCGTGGTTGATAACTACCAGCTGAAAAAGAAAGTCTCTCCCTTCACAGAAAAGTACTTAGATTCAATTTTTACCTCTAAAACCAACCTTTCCAGGTTTTTGATTCCGAATTTTAAATTGCGTTTCGAAGGCTGCCCGTGTGGCCGGTGTGGTATGCGCGGCCTCTGCCCATCCCAACTCTTCAAGCTACACCCCACCCCCCTACCCAATTTCACACTATTCGACTCCACCACAGCTTGCCTCCTTAAAATGCTGAGTAATAGCCTCGGGATTAATATTCACGAGCATGGGTTTGTTATTCCAATGTAAACTTTCTGAATTTTAAAAGGTACTTTCCCAGCCCCTGTCTGCTAACTGTAGAACGGGCAGATTAAAAGCAAACTTGGTCAGAGATGATTCCAGAATAGCGAGCAGTTGCCGTTTCTTTCACAGAAGCGGCTTCAGTCCGCTGTGGGAACCGGTAGGGGTGGGGGGTGCAGGAGGTACCCGAGTGTTAGTACCCACTGGTTGCTAGGACATTTTGCAATACAGACCCGCTTACAGAAAAGGCCACCTCCGTTAGAGGTTGTATGATCCTGATTGAGGGATGCCTGGAATTTCCTAAAGGGATGTGTGTATATATAAAATTATACTTCACAAATCTCGTAAATTTAATTGGCTAACTCTCTTGTCCAGTGTATAAGCTCGGTGGTGAAGTTCAACTGGCTGGTGAGCCTTCTCTGGTGTCCCTATCAGAACCCTGGATATGTGGGTCCTTATTTGGCGTTTCCTTCCTTATAAGGGACTGGGCAGACATCAACCTTTCGTCCATCTTTGTGCTTTGCGGGTTTTTTTTTTTTTTTTTTTTTTTTTTTTTTGGTTAGCTATTTCTCAGGTTTCCTGTTTCTAAGAAGCTGGTGAGGGAGAAAGGATAAAGAGGAGCCTGGCCTCATGAGCATATTCACCTGCGCCTTTGGACAAACCAAAGCTGAATAAATCAGCTGGAACACGATTTTAATATGGGTAGCTACGGATAAGACCTTATAGAAGAAACGCCTGACTTCCAATTTTGGCCAGTCTTCTGGAACATATTTTGAATTACTTGAAGGACAACATCTAAAACAAATAAGATAGCCCTTTTGCAAGCCAGGGTGGAGTTGACAGGGAAGAATTCATTTTCATGCTACATAAAAGCACTTAGGATTCTGATACTGAGTCAGAGGCAAATTAACACCTGCCCTCTGCCTAATCTACCGATATTCCCAACACCTTTCTGGGAAGGGAGCCGAGCAGGCGCAGTCACTCACAAATCTAAAGGAATGTACAGTTTACAGCTCAAGAAAGATGAGCCCTTTAAGGAAGATATTGTGTGATATAGTTCTCTCCTTTATCTTGCTAGTGATAGTTAAAGCATGGCGGCCATATCTGCCTTAGAATGAGGTGGGACCATTGGGCCATTTCAATCACAATAGTAATAATGATGATAATAATTAATAATAATTTTCAGGAGGAGGCTGAGGAAGACCTCAAGTTTAAGAGAAGTCCCTGTCTCAAATAAAAGGTAAAATCAGAAGGAAGCAGACAGAGCACAATAGTTTTTTCCTTTTTTTCCGTTTTGTTTTGTTTCTTGTTTTTTATCTCATGTGCATTGGTGCTTTGTCTGCATGTATGTCTGTGTGAGGGTGGAACTGGAGTTACAGTTTGTGTGGGCTGGGAGCTGCCTTGTGGGTGCTGGGAGCCAAACTCAAGTCCCATGGAAGAGCAGCTAGCGCTCTTAACCCCTGAGCCATCTCTCCATTCTGACAGTAGTATTTTATTTTGGGTTTTTTTTTTTATATAATGTCTCACGTAGCACAGTTGGCTTTGAGCTCCTGGTACTCACAGCTTCACACACTGACACACACACACATACCTGTGCTTGGATTACAGGCATGAGACACCATGACTACTAAGCATGCTCCATATTCATCAGCTCTCTCCATTTCGTGAACCACAGCCAGAAACCAGCAGAGAAATGGAATCAGCCTTGGGAGGGGAGCAGAAGTGGAGGACGAAGAGCGGAAGGCAAGTCCCTGATCCAAGGCTATCATTTAATGGCTTAGAATGCCTTAAGCAGCCAAAAACCCCGGGTGGTATAGGAAAAAGTGGGGCAAGATCTTCTGTTGGGTGACGGGACTTGCAAAGACCGGTTGTTTTGAGGATTGGTTCTAGGAAATACTTCTCCCCAAAGTTGATAACTAGTAGGTGTTTCAGCTGTCTGTGAATGCCGAACCTCTACTGTTCAGAGAGAGATTTGGGGTGTATAACCCCATTTTACTCCTGCAGCCATAGAGGCTCATCTCTCCCTCAGGCACAGTATTTAACTATTGATTTGTTTGATCAGGGTCATTTGCAGCCCAGGCTGGCATTCAATGCACTGTGTAGCCAAGGATGACCCTCCTGTTTCCACCTTAGATACTAGGATCCCAGGTGTCTGGCTCCCTCCGTAGGTAAGGATGACCTTGAATATCAACCAAGTGCAGAATTGTGCATTCAGGAACTTTCTGACTGGGGTATGGGGGTCTCCATCTCTCCACCAACCACTACCTCTTATCTAGCACACTCCTGAGGCCCCCCCTCCTGTTCTGATCTTGTCCCTTCCTAAACCCAGCCTTCCTCCTTCCACATTAGGTCCCTTATTTGTGCCCAATTTCTCCTCCCTGTCTCCTTTGGTACCCACTATCTAGGAAGGATTCTTTCCACTTATGGCAGAGGCTATAGTTCAAGATTTAGGACAGGTTTCTATTTTTGAGGGGTGGAGGGTGAGACAGGGTCTCATGTAGCCCAGGCTCCCCTCAAACTTGTGGCAATCTTCCTGCCTCAGATTCCCAAGTGCTAGCGCCTTCTACCACGTCAGGCCCGGGGATCGAACTCAAGTCCTCAGGCTGGGCAGCAAGTATCTTCAGCAGCTCAGCCATCTTTCTAGCCCTTGTTTGTGTTTCGTTTTATTGGAGAAAGACTGGCCTCCAACTCAGTATATGGCCAAGGATGACTGTGAACTTCTGATTCTCCTGCCTCCACTTCCCAAGGGCTAAGATGACAGGCGTGCACCAGAATGCCCCATTTAAGCAGTGCTGGGGTGGAACCCAGGGCTTTGTGCATGCTGGGCAAGCGCTCCACCAACTAAGCCACATCCCGGCCCCTGTAGTTTTGATTTATGATATTTTCCAGCGTCCTCCGGTTCTTCATTGTGAGCAGGAGAGTGAGGGTGTCTTTTGGATGGTCTCTCACACGGCAGCCTCCCTCAGGGTTGATGGCCTCACCGCTGTGTCCTTTGCACTCAGCTGAAGTAATGGGACACAGAAGTCACAATAATAATAATAATAATAATAATGAGCCAATGATTATGACTCTAGGGACCCTGGGTATAAAGTAAAGTGTTAAAGGCAGTGATTGGAGAGGAGGGAGGATGTGAAATGGCACAGGCGTTACAGACGGCTATTGGCAATTCCTTACAATTAAAAGGAATTATATGAAAAGGCCATGAGCAGGGTCTCAAAGAGCTCTTCAGATGTCTACGTTTATAGCTGAATTATTCACCATATTTAAAAGGTAGCAGTAGCCCAGGTGTCCATCGAGGGACGACTGCATAAGCACAATGTGGAAATATCGTTCAGCCTTTAAAAGGAAGGCCATTTCTTCAAGCTGGGCGTAGTGGCACTCATCTTTAATACCAGTACTTAGGAAGCAGAGGCAGGCAGATCTTTGTGAGTTTGAGGCCAGTCTGGTCCACTTAGTGAGTTCCAGGACAGCCAGGGCTACAGAGTCAGACCCTGTCTCTAAAAAAAAACAAAATCCAAAAGACTAAAAATAGAAGGAAAGAAGGAAGGAAGGAAGGCCGTTCTGAGACATGCTATGATGTGAGTGAGCCTTGACATTATGCTAAACGTAACAAGCCAGTCAGTCACAAAGGCAAGTACTGTAGGTTTTAGAGAGGAGTCTAGAGGACCTACCAGGCAAGGGCTCCAGATGTGCAAGAACAAGCATCTGGATAAATGAGGGGTTTTTATCCGTATTTAACATAGAGGTGGATTTGGTATTGGTTTTAACCCACTTCACTCTGGCAACCCATATACACCACCTAGTTAGTGCCCTGTAACCTCTTCCCTCCCCTGCCTTTTGGTACTAGAGATCAAGCCTAGGGCCTCTAAATGCTATAGAGGGCTCTGCAACCAGGGTCCCCCCAAAACCCCAGTTTTTTCTTTTTCTTTCTTTCTTTCTTTCTTTCTTTCTTTCTTTCTTTCTTTCTTTCTTTCTTTCTTTTCTTTCTTCTTCTTTTTTCTCTTCTTCCTCTCCTCTTCTTCTTCTTCTTCTTCTTCTTCTTCTTCTTCTTCTTCTTCTTCTTCTTCTTCTTTTTAAATAAAAAAGAGTCTCATATAGCCCAGGCTGACCTTGAATTTCTAATTCCCCTGCCTCTGCCTCCCACATGCTGAGGTTGGAGCGCTATGCTCCCCGTGCCTGTATCTGATATGTTCCTTAAGCCTTTGCAATAAAATTTACTTTTA